CGCCGTTATTTTATGATATATTTCTGTAATTTAATGCCGTTATTTTACGGTATATTTCTGAAATTTAACGCAGTTATTTTATGGTATATTTTTGTAACTTAACGGTCTTTTTTTCTGTAATTTAACGGCCATTAATTAACAGTATATTTCTGTAATTTAACGCCGTTATTTTATGGTATATTTCTGTAATTTAACGCCGTTATTTTATGGTATATTTCTGTAATTTAACGCCGTTATTTTATGGTATATTTCTGTAATTTAACGCCGTTATTTTATGATATATTTCTGTAATTTAATGCCGTTATTTTACGGTATATTTCTGTAATTTAACGCCGTTATTTTATGGTATATTTCTGTAATTTAACGCCGTTATTTTATGGTATATTTCTGTAATTTAATGCCGTTATTTTATGGTATATTTCTGTAATTTAACGCCGTTATTTTATGGTATATTTCTGTAATTTAACGCCGTTATTTTATGGTATATTTCTGTAATTTAATGCCGTTATTTTACGGTATATTTCTGTAATTTAACGGCTGTTATTTTACGGTATATTTCTGAAATTTAACGCAGTTATTTTATGGTATATGTTTGTAACTTAACAGTCTTTTTTTCTGTAATTTAACGGCCATTAATTAACAGTATATTTCTGTAATTTAACGCCGTTATTTTATGGTATATTTCTGTAATTTAACGCCATTATTTTATGGTATATTTCTGTAATTTAACGCCGTTATTTTATGGTATATTTCTGTAATTTAATGCCGTTATTTTATGGTATATTTCTGTAATTTAATGCCGTTATTTTATGGTATATTTCTGTAATTTAATGCCGTTATTATATGGTATATTTCTGTAATTTAACGCCGTTATTTTACGGTATATTTCTGTAATTTAACACAGTTATTTTATGGTATATTTTTGTAACTTAACGAATAAGCAGGAATGTACATCTAGCTTTATTTTGCAAGAACCAGCTGGATGTACATCATTCCTTACCTAGATATTTTTACAATACTTTTTTCCCCCTTTTGACCTACCTTCAGTATTTGTCCTCCATCTGGATACCTTCTTAAAATCTCTTTCAAGTAGTCAATGAATGGTGGAGACGTGGCACCAAACTTATTTCTGCATCAAACAATGTAAAGTTTATTACAAACAGTTAAAGAAAGCAAACAGAAAGTTCACTGTGTAATATAGACTACTTAAAAAATGAGCTTGAGATTTATAAAACACATTAGTCACAGATAACAACATGTTTTATCTGATAATACTCAGTTCATTATAGGCATACACTGTAAGAAATGCTTTTCTTGGTGTTTTCGTCTTGTTTCTAGTGCAAATATCTAAAGCTTCCTTTCCACTGCACACGACAAACGACAGACCAAAAGTCATTTATTTCCAATGGAGAGTAGTACGGGAGCTGCGTGGAGTTTGGATCATCTCTGTATGCGGAAAATTCGGATCCGGTGAGCTGCGGATCCGTTGAAATATTTGAACTCCTGCGACTAGACCGTATGTGACCAGCCGACCGGATGTGATGTATTTCAGTGTTGCCCATGCAGGTTCGTGCGCGTGAGATGAGAAATAGAAGTATTTTAGTTATTTTTTTTTACAAGAAAAAGGTCTATATAAAACAAACAAAAAAACATTTTTATTCGTAAATGAGTAATAAAAATAATTACTATTTTTTATGTTGTCTCTACATTCCCTCCAAAATATTTAGCAGTCTATGAGTTTCTAGTATTCATTCCTTCATCTGTTCAGTTATGGTGAACACACGGAAAACAGAAGTTCTTTTTGCACGTTATTTCCAGCCTGATCTCACGAGAAAACGTAAGTATTTTACGTTTTGCCAGTTTAGTGGCTAATTCGTTCGAATACGTACGAGTTCAGTCGTACGAAATTGTACGATTTTAAAAAGGAGGTTAGATTAGGTGAGATTTTGTTGGTATTTCGGACACTGCCAAAACAGCTTCTCTCCCATGGTGCACGACAACACTGAAAATTGGGGGTGTATTCCAACAGTTGTGTCCAAATGTTGTGCGCAGTGGAAAGGCGGCTTAATAATTATTTATCAAGAAGCAATTATTTTAGACAAGCTAAAGGTTTCGTCTTTCTTTCAGAATAAAATACTTTAAATTAAGTGAGTTTTTTCCTTAAAATAAGTCAAATAATCTGAAAACGGGCTAAGCAAAATATTCTTATGTCAAAGCGAAAACTAGATTTTTAATTTTGCTCCCCCCATTGTCAGAATATTTTTCTTGTTTTAAGGAAAAACTCACTTAATTTGGACTTTCTGGAAACAAGTCAGGATGTTTTGCTTGTCTAGAAAACGCTTCTTGATTTAAGGATTAGATCTTTTTGCACTAGAAACAAGACAGAAACTCTGAACGAGACAAGCATTAGCTGTGTAAAATAAAACACATACTTTTTTTTCTTCTTTTCCCTCGACATCATTTTCGTTTTCTTGTGTGTTTAAACAAAGCTGTTTAAATAAAAGACAACCAGATTACTAATTGTACACAATGACTGAATATACAAATGAAGCTGCAGATTACACACTGCACACTATGATTGACAACAGTGTAGTTGATTTTCTAGTTTCTGGCGCTGTTGCCTGCTCTTGTCTTTACATGTCTTCTGGATCACTCTTTATGTCCAGCCCTTTGGATTAAGTTGATCTACCTCTGCTTGTCCTCAGATTATTAATCTGCATAGGCCTGTTATAATGTGCTATATGCCACAGCTAAATATCTTTGCACAAACCAGAATGGATCAGATGGATTCAGGCTCAATTTTCATCCTTGCGAGGTAAATGAGCCGTCATGTGATGTGTGTTTCGATTAGCATGAAAAAAAAATGCAAAACTGGTTGTTAAGGAAGTGAAGTGGAAGCTTGCCTTTGGCGATTATAGTTTGGTTGCACTGACGACAGCAACAGCAAAGTCTGAGGTGTGGAAAAGTTTAGACCATGTACATACAGTAAATACCAACTATAACCAAACACCCACTTAAAGTAGAAGCTATCTTAGTTTAATTTAAGACTGATTCTCACTGTGTATTGCTACTTAATCTGTGTTAAACTGCTTTGACACAATCTACATTGTAAAAGTGCAACAGAAATAAAGACAAATTCCGGTTTCCCCCACAAGTCCAAACACATGCGCTATAGGGGAATTGGGTCGGCTAAATTGTCCGTAGTGTATGAGTGTGAATGAGAATGTATGGATGTTTCCCAGAGATGGGTTGCAGCTGGAAGGGCATCTGCTGCGTACAACATGTACTGGATAAGTTGGTGGTTCATTCCGCTGTGGCGACCCCAGATTAATAAAGGGACTAAGCCAACAAGAAAATGAATTTTGATATTTTGATTCAGCTTGAAAATTAAGGCATCCAGGATTTTTTTACAGTGTACACAATAATAGTTCAAAGAGCTGTACATAAGCAAGAACAAAATACAAGTATAAGAAATAGAGCCAACAAAAATATCAAGTAATTTGAAACATTTGGAACCCCTGGATTTTGCATTAAAAGCAATGTGTTTTGAGTAAAATGTTGTTTTTTGTCTTGTTAAATTACATAACTTTACAATCTCATCTTTTAGAGAATTTGTCTGCAGATGCCATTAAGTCAATATAACATATTTTAATTCATTCATTCATTTTCTTTTTGGCTTAGTCCCTTTATTAATCTAAAGATGCCACAGAGGAATGAACCGCCAACTTATCAAGGATGTTTTACGCAGCAGATGCCCTTCCAGCTGCAACCCATCTCTGGGAAACACCCATACACTCTTATTCACACACATACACACACACTACAGACAACTTAGCTTATTTAGTTCACCTACACCGCATGTGTTTGGACTGTGGCGGAAACCGGAGCACCCGGAGGAAACCCACGCAGGCAGAACATGCAAAATGGCCCAGGTGTGGCTCGAACCTGTTGTGAGGCGACATCGCTATACCCTCTGCGACATAAAATAAGTAAAAATAATCCAATTTAATAATCCTAAATATTGGAAAAACTAACTTATTATAACCTTATTGAGTGTTTTGTATTATCTGGATAATTGTGTAACACTATCATCAGCAGTAATAATAAACATAAACCACAATCAATCTTCATTTAAAACATGTAAAACACAGATAACAAATAAATAACTTTTGAATTGGTCTCTTAAGTTCTCCCCTTACTCCACACTATCCTCTTACCTTCAGTGGCGGTTGACTGTGGTCATGATGCGGCTTCACTGACCGCGCACAGGAACACAAATGCCGCGAACTCAGCGATGAGGCGGAATAAATGAGGATGTAGTTTCAGTTCTCCAGAAAGAGCCTGTTCTGCAAAAACGAAACCTACACTCCTCTTCTACTTAGTGTGCACAGAATGACTAAGTTTCAATAAAAGTGATTCAATTAAGCCAAACGAGTGACTGCAAAGAAAGGAAAACTTATTGGGGAGTGGGAGCGTTGAAGGTTTCTCCCCGGTATGGTCTTGAGGCGCTTAATTCAGCTGAGGCATCAGGCTACTTCCTATATCAGTACTTTTTAATATAGTTAGAAAGGGGGTACACATAAAGAATGGGACAGTACACAACCTATACAACATTTAACAGAAAAAAAAACTAAAGGTAGACACAAATTAACACTGAAAATAACTGTAGGTGAAACATGAGGTAAAGTTTTATATTCGCACATTCGATCACTGACAACCTGTGACATGGTCTCTTGTTTACTTTGAATAGATCTGAAAGACTGTAAAAAACAAAACAAAATCGCATGTATGACCTAAAACATTAGCATGTACTTCAAAACAACATTAGCACTGATTAACTTACCGTAAATAATGCTGCACTTTAGTTTTTGGCTAATGCTAATATGATTTACTATTACTTTTCTGAAATGTTAAGGAAAAAGTTCGAATATAAAACCTACTCTACCTATCCTACATTTAATATTATTTATATTTTTATTATAGTTTATAAAGGATTATCTAACAGCAAAAAAATAAATTTTTAATTGTGGGCTACTTTTATTTTGATAGCACGGCAGCATCCATGCTGCTGTCCGCTTCCAGGAGAGAGGCACTGATTTCCCTTTGTTTACAGTGATGTTAAATGCGATGTAACTGTCATAACACCGCTGTCAGGTCGAGCGGTTTTCTCTAACATTACAATGCTGACTGGCTGTTCTGCATTGATGTGCGCTCAGTTCATTGGCGTCAGCAGTGTTACGCTTAAGTGATCTTCAGGAAATCCTCAGTGCATATTTGATGGTTTCTCTCTCCGTGATGGTTAAAGGGGTGAGTTTGCGCTTTTGCATTCGTTGATGTAATGTTGCACAATCACAATCAGCACGGACATCTTAGGAAATGATTTATACTGTGTAATTCACCCTTGACAAGTACACTTTAGTAGCCAAACAGAGACGCCTGGAAACGCTGTAATCAATGCTTTTGTTTGCATATGATGATGTCTGTTTTCGAGAAGGAGATTTGCAAAATAAAATATAAATAAAATAAAAAACAACTGGCCTGAACAACACAGTTCTGTCTTAAATTAATTATTTTTTTTTGCGTTTGCTGCATATTTTTATTCAAATACATGCAGTATATATGCTTTTATATATATATATATATATATATATATATATATATATATATATATATATATATATATATATATATATATATATATGTATATATATACACACACACACACACACATACATTTGTATACCATTATAAAGTGTTATTATTCCCACACTTCAGCACACAAATAGCTTTAACCAAAGCAGACATTGAAATGAATGGAGATTCACACATTCTCTCCTTTTAGATGTGTGTTCTCCATTTACACTGCAAATAAAATTGTTTTGTCTGGTTTCTACCCTACTGAAAAAAACTGCTTAAACCAGCCTAGGCTGGTTAGCTGGTTTTAGTGGAGTTTTGGCCATTTCTTAGCTGGTCAGGCTGAGAGATGACCAGCCAAAACCAGCTATGTCCATCTTAAACCAGGCTGGGCACGCTGGTTTTAGCTGGTCATTTTCCAGCCTGACCAGCTAAGACCAGCCTGGAAATGGCCAAAGCCCCTCTAAAACCACCAGCTCAAACCAGTCAATCAGCTTAGGCTGGTTTAAGCTGTTTTTTTCAGCAGGAAAGTCTAAATATCTAAAAATTCTTAAATAAAGGAGCATTTTCTTAAAAAAAAACAAAACAAAAAAAAACTATTGTCTTTTTTTTTTTAAATAAGCCAAAATAAAGTGAATAAACTATAATCTTCCAGTGGTGTAACAAATTAATCTTGTTTTTCTTTTTGGCATGAGTTTATGTAGCTTGTTTTAATTTGAACATTACTTTTTAAAACAAGATTATGTTCCAGACAAACCAAAAAAATTCAAGTTTAACTCTGGGCTCAGTCGTTTTTGTTAGACTGTGGAAATTACAGCAAACCAAAGAAATATCTACAAATGCATCATTAAAAGACAGCCATCATGAGGAGATTTTAGGTTCTTACTAAAGTAAAAATAAAATATACTTTCCTTACCAAGAAAAAAAGAACACAAGCCCTGTTTCACAGGCAATTTCACACCCGGATCTTCTGGGTTTAAAACTCATAATAGTAAAGTATATGGTTAGTATAGTTCACGTGGGTTTCCACCGGGTGCTCCGGTTTCCCCCACAGCCCAAACACATTTGGTACAGTAAAATGGGTAGTATAAATGCATAACAGATCCCCTTTAACTCAATGTTTGTTGTCGTCATCATCAGGTGTGATGTTTTCCTCAGTCCTCCATCATGCCCCACTCCTCCAAGCCTCGCTCTCTGGTGCTCCACAAACGCAGCCATGCTGGAGAGAAGCCCCACACCTGCCGGCTCTGCTCCAAAACTTTCATCTCGTCCTCTCACCTGGCTCTCCATCTGCGCTCGCACTCCGGAGAGCGCAAGTACAAGTGCAGCGTCTGCTCCAAGATGTTCATGCAGTCGTCGCAGCTGATGCGCCACAAGACCATCCACACGGGGGAGAAACCCTTCAAATGCCCCGACTGCAACAAGTGCTTCGGCCGCGCGTCACACCTGAAGACCCACAGCAGGCTCCACACAGGTCAGGAACACTGCAGTGATTGCTTTTCTTACTCAGAGTTTGGTCTTCTTTCTAGTCTAAATATCTAAGAAGGCTAAAATCAAGAGCCATTTATTAGACAAGCAAAACATATTGGGTTTCATGTCATGTCATTTTCATCTGCTTATCCGGGGTCGGGTCACGGGGGCAGCAGTCTTAGGAGAAAACCCCAGACTTCCCTTCTGCAAGAGTCTTCCTCCGGGGGGATCCCGAGGCGTTCCCTGGCCAGCCTAGAGACATAGTCCCTCCAGCGTGTCCTGGGTCTTCCCTGAGGCCTGTCCTGGTGGGACATGCCAGGAACACCTCCCTAGGTAGGCGTCAAGCCACTTCAGCTGACTTCTCTGGATGTGGAGGAGCAGCGGCTCTACTCCGAGCTTAGGAAGAATGAATTTCAGGAAGGTCACATTTATCTATCAGACCTACAACTAAACATTACCAACACTAAATTGGCCAGTGTTCCAGTTTCATTGTCCAACACCTGTGTACATATATGTATGTATTATTTCTGAAAACAAGACAATATTTTTTGCCTGTCTCTAAAATGCTTCTTGATTTAAGGATGTTCAGATATTTGGACCAGAAACAGGATCAACAATATAAGCTGTTATTTGTCCCACAGGTGAGAAGCCCTTCCAGTGCACACTGTGTGACCGAGCGTTCACACAGAAAGCCGGACTCATCATTCACCTGCGTCTGCACACCGGGGAACGGCCCTTTAAGTGTGATAAATGTGGAAAAGCATTCCGCACGTCAGCTCATCTGCTGAATCACCAGGCGCTGGAGCTGGGCGAGGGCAAACACGTGTGCTCCACCTGCCACAAGGGCTTCAGGTACAACTGCACTATATATATCTAGTGTCAGGGGGTGATTTTGTGCATTTAGTCTGCTCAAAAAATTGCTTTGGTATGAATGCGGAAAAAAACGTTACGATAGCATTGTTAAGACTATTTGAAGGGGTGTTCATAAGACTGTCATTAAACCTTTATAATCATGACTTACACGTTTATGAAGCGCTATCTAGTGTCGGGTGGTGACTTTGCGCATTTAGTCTGCTCAAAAAATTGCTTTGTTATGAATGTGAAAAAAAACGCTATGATAGCATTGTTAAGACTGTATTTAAAGGGGTGTTCATAAGACTGTCGTTAAACCTTTAAAGTCATGACTTGCAAGTTCATATAGCACTATCTAGTGTCAGGTGGTGATTTTGCATGTTTAGTCTGCTCACAAAATCGCCTTGGCGTGAATGCAGAAAAACGTTATGCAACACTGCACTTCAAGGGGTTCATAAGACTGTCATTGAGCCTTTATAATCATGACTTGCAAGTTCATGAAGCACCATCTAGTGTCAGGGGGTGATTTTGCACGTTCAATATGCTAAAAAAAATCGCTTTGGTATGAATGCGGAAAAACGTTACGATAGCATTGTATTCGGAGTGTTCGTAAGGCTGTTGTTAAACCTTTATAATCAAGACTTGCATGTTCATTAAGCACCATCTAGTGTCAGGTGGTGATTTTGCGCATTCAGTCTGGTCAAAAAATTGCTTTGGCATGAATGCGGAAAAAAATGTTATTACAGCATTGTTAAGACTCTATTTGAAGGGGTGTTCATAAGACTGTCATAAAGCCTTTATAATCATGACTTGCAAGTTCATAAAGCACCATCTAGTGTCAAGGGGTGATTTTGCACGTTCAGTCTGCTCAAAAAATTGCTTTGGTATGAATGCGGAAAAAAACGTTGTGATAGCATTGTTAAGACTGTTTTTGAAGGGGTGTTCATAAGGCAGTCGTTAAACCTTTATAATCATTACTTACACGTTTATGAAGCGCTATCTAGTGTCGGGTGGTGACTTTGCGTGTTCAGTCTGCTAACAAAATCGCCTTGGTGTGAATGCGGAAAAACGTTATGCAACACTGCACTTCAAGGGGTTCATAAGACTGTCGTTGAGCCTTTATAATCATGACTTGCAAGTTCAGAAAGCACCATCTAGTGTCATGTGGTGATTTAGCATGTTCAGTCTGGTCAAAATCGATTTGGCATGAATTCGAAAAAACATTATGTAACACTGCACTTCAAGGGGTGTTCATAAGACTGTAATTAAACCTTTATAATCATGATTTGCAGGTTCATTAAGCACCATCATATCAGGTGGTGATTTTGCACATTCAGTTTGCTCAAAAAATTGCTATTCATTGGTATGAATGTGGAAATAAAAAAATATAATAGCAATATACTTGAAGGAGTGTTCATAAGACTGTCATTAAACCTTTATAATCATGACTTTCAAGTTCAAGAAATGCCATCTGATGTCAGGTGGTGGTTTTGCGCATTCAGTCTGCTCAAAAAATGTATTTGGTACAAATGCAGGAAACATTAAGACTGTATTTGGAGTGTTCATAAGACTGTCATTAAACCTTTATAATCATGACTTGCAAGTTCATTAAGCACTATCTAGTGTCAGGTGGTGATTTTGCGCGTTCAGTCTGCTTTGGTATATTACTGTTTCCGCATCAAATTCATAATGTGTGACTCTGTATTATGGCAGAATTGACCAGACACCGCAGTTCAGAACACATGAGATTTATATCACTGCAGAGTTTAACATTGTAAACACTATCTGAACAGTTTTCGCATTTAGCGTGTTTATTTGCGGTGGTGAACTGCATTATGGGATGTTGATCTCTGCTCTGTCCACTTCTGAAGTTGAGAATTCAACTCTACACTGAAAAGTGACTTTTATTGACATTTTAGTTGTTTGAAATAATAAAAAAGACTGTGTAATTCCTAAAAACTTACCGAAAGAGAACAAATGTTATTATGACAGTATAATACTCTCTCTGCAGGTCTCTCTCCATACTGAAACACCATGAGAAGAGCCACCAGTCTGCATTAACAGAAGCGCCTCTGTGCTGCAGCGTTTGCTCCGTGGCCTTCACTCAATCCTCACACGCGCACTTACTCAACGGACAGCAGCTCTTCCACTGCAAAGTGTGCAACCAGACGTTTGTGAAAATGTCCACCTTCGAGAAACACTGCCGCAAACACCAGCGGGACGCACACCAGTGTGTGAAGAAGGAGGAGGAGGAGGATTCGCATGATCCTCTGTATGAGCTGCATTCGGCTGCGTCCCAAACACAGAGCACTTCAGAGGTCAACACGCGCTCCAAAACCAGAGCCAGAGTCAAGAGCACTGCGGAGTAACGCTACAGTAACACTTCCCTTCAAGGGGTGTTCATAAGACTTTCATTAAACCTTTATGATCATGACTTGCAAGTACATTAAATGCCATCTAGTGTCAGGTGGTGATATTGCGCGTTCAGTCTGCTCAAAGGGTATAAACGGAGGTCGGAGCCAGCTCCAAGTGGGTTAGTCTACGAGCTCCAAGTAGGCTGTGCAAACCTGGTGTGGTATTTATTTTATTTATTTAGTCGTATTTAGAGTTCAATATTGTGCTTTATGAAAGTCTACACCTAACCCTAAACCCAACCTTACAGTAACCTGATGTGTTTTATTAATGTCTACTCTCCACCTACACCACTTAAACCCAACCTACTTGTGGCTTAAGTCCCTCCCACTTGGAGGTCTCCGGGCTCCAGCGATACCTACTTGCAAAGAATCGCTTTGGTATGAATGCAGGAAACGTTAAGACTGTATTTGAAGGGGTGTTCATAAGACTGTCGTTAAACCTTTATAATCATGACCTGCAAGTTCATTAAGCACTATCTCGTGTCAGGTGTTGGTTTTGCGCATTCAGTCTGCTCAAAAAAACGCTTTGGCATGAATGCGAAAAAACGTTATGATAACACTGCACTTCAAGGGGTTCATAAGGCTGTCATTAAGCCTTTATAATCATGATTTGCAAGTTCATGAAGCACCATCTAGTGTCAGGTGGTGATTTTCCGCATTCAGTCTGCTCAAAAAATTGCTTTGGTATGAATGTGAAAAAAAAACATTATGATAGCATTGTTAAGACTGTATTTAAAGGGGTGTTCATAAGACTGTCGTTAAACCTTTATAATCATGACATGCAAGTTCATAAAGCACCATCTAGTGTCAGGTGGTGATTTTGCACGTTCAGTCTGCTCAAAAAATCGCTTTGGTATGAATGCGGAAAAACGTTACGATAGCATTGTATTAGGAGTGTTCGTAAGGCTGTCGTTAAACCTTTATAATCATGACTTGCAGGTTCATTAAGCGCTATCTAGTGTCAGGTGGGGATTTTGCACGTTCAGTTTGCTCAAAAAAACACTTTGGTATGAATGCGGAACAAACGTTACGATAGCATTGTTAAGACTGTATTTGAACTGTGTTCATAAGACTGTCGTTAAACCTTTATAATCATGAACTGCAAGTTCATGAAGCGCTATCTAGTGTCAGGTGGTGATCACTTTGGGGGAAACCGGAGCACCTTGAGGAAACCCACGTCAACACTGGGAGAACATGCAAACTCCACACAGAAACGCCAACTGACCCAACAAAGGCTTGAACCAGTGCTGTGAGGTGACAGTGCTAACCACTGTGCCACCGAACCACCCCAAGAGCACAACACAAGCAAATAAAAAAAATCAAGTATCACATTTTTTTAATTGAAATTAAATTAAACACTTTTTAAAGTGCATAAACTGACAAACAACTGTTGTTAAACACAATATGATTTCATTAACATGCATGTAGGGGAAATTAGGAATCAAATAAAACTGCATCAGTAGCCGAAGATAACCCGCATCAGCAGAGAGTGTAATGAGAAATGCAAAATAGCAAACTGCCCTTCAGATGCTTTTTCTACTTTACAAATAAGAGTTTGTTGGCGGTTCATTCCCCATTGGCGAACCCGGATTAATAAAGGGACTAAGCTGAAAATGAATGAATGAATTTGTATTGTTGGTCTTGTTTCTAGTCTAACATTCTTAAATCAAGAAGAGATTTTGTCTTGTTTCTTCTCGTTGTGAAATAAATTAATTGAAATTAAAGTATTTAACATAGAAGATTTTTTTAAAAACCTTTGTTTTTAATACTATGCATGTTTTGCTGATATTTGTCTGCTTTGTGATGGTTTGTGAGTCTCATGTTTGATTTAAACTGCTCCGGTGTCCTGACATTCTACCTTACCCATCAGATGATGCTTCAACACTATTGGAATGGTTCTGCGGTTGGGGTTATGAATTAGGTAGGAAAGGGAGATATTACAGCTTCATATCACACTACTCCACGTTAACATACACTGATAGCCAAATCTGATGGGTACATACATTGTGTCATCAAAATGTGCTGCCTACTTTTTAAATGACAATCTGACATGTTAAAACAAATAGACACCGGTCTTCGATGAATAAATGGACAATCTTGCTGTGGGAGCCACTCTCACCACCAGAGGGCGACATTAATCCACACACACAATACAAATGCAAGATGAAGCTAAATCTGACAGAAGCATTTTTGTGAAAAGCAAATATGATTTATAAATGCCTTCTCTGCACACTAAACTCAGCAGAGAGCATTTCAACAAAAATTTAAGCGGGGAAATGCAGAAAAGCTACAAAAATAACTTGTGCGACTGAAAATAATCTGCAGTTTCTTTCCAGCATAATAGTAAATATATAGATATTACAACTTTATTTAGTTTTTTTCCCCACCATATAAGTGAATATAGATGTTGCAACTTTATTTAGGTGTGATAGTAATATATAGCAATACAAAAAATAGACTGAAATCATAAACCAAAAAAGTAGCAGAAATTAGCACTCTTTAAATTAAAACTAACTTACAAAAATCTAAAATGTCTTCAAATTGTATTCAAGTACTGTTTGGTGAAGCTTTAAATTACTGTACAGTATTAACCAACATAAAAATATAATATAGTAATAGTATATTATATATAATAGTAATATATAATATAGTAATATACCCAATACTGTAATGTTTTGGAGCCATACTGTAGTCAGTTGTGGTGATTCTACAGTCACTATGATAACAAAAGAACTATAGCAATTAATCTCTTGTGGCGATTCAACAGTTGCTATGGTAACAAAACAACTATAGCAATTAATCTCTTGTGGCGATTCAACAGTTGCTATGGTAACAAAACAACTATAGCAATTAATCTCTTGTGGCGATTCAACAGTTGCTATGGTAACACAACAACTGCAGAAATTAATCTGTTTTGGTCATTCCATAGTTACTAAGGCAACACTACCATTTACAGTATTTAATCTGTTGCGGTGATTCTACAGTTGCTATGGTAACAAAACAACTATAGCAATTAATCTGTTGTGGCGATTCTACAGTTGCTATGGTAACTCAGCAACTATAAAAAATTAATTTGTTGCGGTCATTCCATAGTTACTATGGTAACAAAACAAATACAATTAATCTGTTGTTGTGATTCTACAGTTGCTATGGTAACAAAACTACAGCAATATAATTAAATGAGCCAATACTGTAATTTAGATAAACTCTAGTGTATATTATACTACACTACACCACTGTTTACTGTAGTAAAAACTAAAGTATAGTACAGTGTTTATCAGTTCATTATAGTTAATATTACAGAGTGGTGGAGCATTCATTAATTAAGTGTACAACACACTTTACTGTAGCACAGTTTCAAAACACTCTAACATGCACTATACGTTTTTATCATGTAATTAAACTTAACTAAATGCTATTTTTTGGTGATCAGAAATAGAATAGTTCCCGTGAAATGCTTTGAAATGCACATTTTTTTATTAAATGTTTGACGTAATCTCCACTAAAACATGAAGAGAGGGTGGGGCATAGAGTAGCTCCTCCCACAGAATTAAGTTGTCTCAGCTCTGCCAACGAGAGTGTTTGAGCTCAAGTGCATCAAATGAACAGCCAATGAGAAGAAGGGAACAGGGCATGTCAGACACTAGAGCGCATTTGATTGGTCAGAAGATTTCATGACAAACTGAAGTATGTCAACAAAATGTCATCACATACAAAGCACACATATAAAGGCAGATATATAATAAACCCTAATGCAGCTTTCCTGTATAACTTACACTAGACTATCTGCATCTTCAGTGTCTAGTCTAGTGGTTAATAGTGTCAGACAGTCATGCAATGTTTATGCAATGAAATGCGTTTCCTCTGATTGCGCGGTCTGCTCAACACACTTGAGCAATAAAAAAAAGCCACAAGCGCTGAATGAGGATTGTTGAGCAGATCTGCTCATCATCTGATCTTCCTGTCTACCATAGAAATGACTATCAGCATGAGTCAGTGACCGCAGCTGCTGTGCTGTTACCCTTAAAGGCGCCTATTATGCAAAATTCCGTCAGCAGTGTGTCAATACATCCAGTATTCATTTTTTATAATAGACTTGATGAGTGAAGCACTTTGATTGACATTCTCACTTTGTACGTGTCATCAGAGGGGGAAAGCCCCGCCCACTAGTGCCCATCTCTCCATCTCATTAGCATGTCCAGCAGGCCTGAGTGAGAAGCAGCCGTCTGTCCATTAGCCATTAGAGTGTTTGAGCTGCTGAAGATGATGTCAGCATAGACTAAGAGGATTATAGATGTGGAGTTCTAGATGAACAGCGACAGGAGCGACATAGACTGACAGAAGCATCAACACACACTCACACTGAAGCGCACACACACACCTGACCAGCACTCACAATACACACACTGCTGTTTTACATCCGTCTGTAGCTCCGCCCTCTTCTGAATAGAGCACAATCTCATTTGCATTTAAAGCGACAGTCATCAAAACGCCACAATTAGGATCAAAGCCTGAAAGGGTCAGTTTCAGAGAGCTGGAGAACATTACCCGTGTGATATTATCAACTCAAACACACACACACACACTCTAGACACAGCAGAGACGCAGCATGTAAAAAAGAGGCAGAATAGGTCTCCTTTAAGGTGAAGCCAGCGTAAAGAGAGACATGGACTATCAATTTCATTCACTTTAATGGAAAATAAAGCATCTGAATGAGTTTATAAACTGCAGAATCACATTCTGAATATTGTTATATGATACAGCTGTAAACAATCATTTAATCAAGCGCAAACATGTCTGTGGACAGCAGAGAGAAATAAAGGCGAACTGACACACTATCATTCATCAGTAAAATACATGCTTTAATAAGAGAGGAAATGCTTCTCATATGTCTGCCATCACTAATGCATTTCACCAACCCAAGCTCATTCTGGAAAGGAAGCCCCGCAGACGTTTCTGGAGACTGCCATTTATGTGGCCGGAGTTACGTATGGCTGCATTTCGGTATTTCAAGCGAAATAACTCTTACGCTCGCCGGTAGACGGCTTACCTCCTCCATGTGGAGGGCTTTTCCGCCGCATCCAGTTTGTCTGGTTAGCTTGTCGTGTTACGTCGGCTGAGCGGAGACCTGGAGAAGGAGGCGGCCGCGGCTTGTCAGGTAAGACAAAAAACAGAATCCAAAAAAATAAAGCGAACAAGTTCATAATCAGGCGAGAATGCTGTGAAATCCAAAAACAAGGTCAAAATTGGACGAGGGCTTTGCTTTTTCTGAGCGCCTTTTGTAAATCATCGCTTGGGTTTAGGGAAGAAGGAGGAGGAGGGTGGCTGGGTCGCTCGATAGCGGCTTTTTAAGCGAAAACAGCACGGGTGCAAATGACAACGATGATGGAAAACAAAAAACTGCACAAATATTTACCTCCCGTAAATATTACCTGTTTTGTTGTCTCCAGAAACGTCCACGGGGCTACGTTTCCAGGATGAGCATGGGTTGCATTTCACACTTCACAATGTAGAAAAATAAGACATAAATCAAATAAAAAATAACAAGCTCATATGCGTAATGTATTTAGAGAGACAGATTTAACACTGCAACACCACCTGTGTGCTATTTACAGTGAACTAATGTTTGCTTGGAGTATGAATCAGTGCCGACTCAGTCTCACAGCACTGTGTGCCTTTCTGATTCAGTGGCTAATTCATATTCATTTGTACAATATGCTTCTCCCCTATTCACGTGGGTTTCCCCCGGGTTCCTCGGTTTCCTATCACCGTCAAAAAACACAGCTTAAGTTAATTGACTAATCTAAATCAGCATCATAGACATGCTGCTAGTCAGTAGTCATCTCTTAAGAGCGATCACTATCTGTTCATTAGCTACTACAGCAGGGGAGTTCTCCACATCTGCCTGAGCTCAAACTCCACTCTCGCCTTGCAAACAGGAGGGAGCCCAGGGCTCGAGGATCTCATGAGCTCAGGGCTCTCTCCCAGGACAGCATGCCAAACACGCTTTATAATCAATCATCAGCTGAGTGTGAACTCTTGAAAAACAACTTTAAAAATTCAACTTTGGAAATGCAGAAGTTTCCATTTGGTGTGCAGTATAAAACTTAAACTCTCTCCTATCAGTCCTTCATACTCTCATCCAGCACCTCACGGTTTGTCACGGGGCGTGAATGACATATTGCTGAATGAAGGTGAAACTGACGAAGTAAAAATAATAATAATTAAACACCCAAAATGACTCGAAACTGAGGACAGACTGGAGAACTTTGGGGATCATGAAAGAAAAATGTAAGCAACTCATGTAAACACCTTAATCATATTATTGCCTTATTCAGATTAAGGTCAATAGTTTAATAACTGATGTTCTTGCAAACGTAGTCAGAGTCTTGTAGACACATTCAAAGTTGATAACTATTAGTAAAAATACTATCACAGTGCTGTGGCGGAGAGGCTAGGTGTGATTGTCTGCACATGAGCTGTCGCCCGGCACAGGGGAAAGAGGGTTGTTTTCAGCCCACAGACAGTCCTTCTTTTTCTTCAGCTCACAGTTCCTCTTGTGCTCGCGTCTCAACAACAATACAATGACCAGCACAAGAAAACAGATCAGAGGAACGGTGATTCCCATCGTTACTCCTAACGGGTCTGCTGACTGCTTTTCAGGATCATCTGAGAAAACAAATCACATGTTGGATCGTTACTTATTTAAGAAAAAGATTTGAAAAACAAAACACATTTATAGGGCTCTATCATACACCCGGCGCAATGAGGTGCAACATGTGTTTGACGTAATGTGTTGCTATTTTCAGAGCAGTGGAACAGTATTTTTCATGTTTTGCGTCAATATGTGGGCTAATGGATGTGTTCAGTGGAGAGAGTTTCCACCGTTTCCTCACTCCACCAAAGTAAAGGAGTAAAGTAAAGAGGCTGAATGGAGGAGGCTCGTTCTTTATCCTTTGCGCTGCAGATGCTCTGTTTAACTGTGTTCTTGCTAGTGAAGCGTTCAGTTCTTACACATAAAGTCACCATGTAAATAGCAAATGCACCATGGAGCGATGCAACTGACTCTTAAAGGGAATGAGAGACGAGACTCTGATTGGTTTAATGCAGGTTATGCTCAAAACACAGCCAGAACTCATTAAGAGAATCAGCTCAACCCTGTTAGACCATACAAGTGGATCCAGTGCTTTTGCACCATGCACTTTAGACTTTCCACATAGATCGTTAAAATACAGCCCAGAGTGTAAATGCACCGCAAAAAATGCTGTTATTTTATTTATTTATTTTCTTTACATTGAATCTTTGCCTTGTTTCTAGTGCAAATATCTAAAATTCTTAAATTAAGAAACATTTTCTAAACAAGCAAAAATATTGTCTTGATTTAAGAAATCTTTCCTTCGGCTTTCCTAGCCCCTGATTTTTCAGAGGTCACCACAGCCGAATAAACCACCTATTCCAGCATATGTTTTACACAACAACAATAGTATCTGCATGCAGCCTTTATGATGCAAGCTGAGACTGCATCACTCAGCCATGCAATGTCAGACACAATGCACTCAAATGGAGCGAGTGACGTCACTGTGAGGGGTAGGGTAAGGGGTGGGGTTAGGTGAGCTCATTAAAAAGCATTGGATGCAGCACAGATTGCACTGCACCAAGTCTGCATCCAGACCTCTCTCCACAACAGTTGCCCTTCTGCAACCCATCACCAGGAAAGTCTTAAGAAATAATATTTCAAAATTAAGGTTTTCCTTAAAACGTATATTAGAAATATTAGAAGTATACTGTTTATCCTAGAGGTGTGAAGCTACACTGATCTCACGGTTTGGTTCGGTTATGATTATCATACCATCGATTCAATTCGATATCACGGTGCATTGACGATGCTTTCCATAGACAATATTATATTTCACTTCTCAGCACAAGAATTCTTGTATTAAAATGTATAAATATATTGACATTTATATATTATTTGTAAAACAGTTTTGTTTTTTAATACAAACAGTCAGAACTGTACCTTTAAAAAGTACATTCACAAAACAACATGAGCATTTATAGCTAATAAACTCTTGTAAATATCCCTTTATGAGCCCATATGATCGGTCAAGCGCTCAACAGAAAGGGCTGCACTTGGCTCTAACATCCTGGCGCAGTTCACTGATGATAAACAGTGATAAACGGCAGCGGCGGTCACAGCTGATCCATGATAGACGAGGAGGTGAAAACTCACTCTGCAGACATGCTCGTGTCTGTATCTAGACGTATCGCTGTAACAGCCGAGAGGAGAGGAAAAGTTACACCAGCCAGGGTCACAGTGAGAGTGAGAAATGGCGTTTATTTTCCTTTTCTCAATCGCAGTGAAACAGGGCTTCTGCTGTACTTCACTGTCAGTGAAAGACCGTCCAGCATGTGATAACCAGTAATGATCTGATACTAAACCAATACCCAATCGTCCGCCTCTGCATCGCAGTGCACAGAAGAAACAATTAATTTGACACCTCTAGTTAATGCTAATATAAATACACATTTCTGAGTTGAGATCATTACCTTTAATGTGAACGTGGACAGAGAGCACTCCAGAGTGGTCTGAAGCCAGTCTCTTCCAGGTGTTATCAGTGTGAAGCCACTCTTCTACCTGACAGTAGTATTTCCCCTTATCAGTGAGGTCGGTCTGTGGCACGGTCAGTTTATAGTGTGTGGCGTCTGGTCGTCCAAACACCAGATATTTATCATTCAGAGCGCTGTGTAGAGTACCATCATGCTTGGCAGTGAATATAACATGGGTTACTTCTTCTTCAACTTTAAACCATGTGACCTCAAAGGCAGATTTATCACTGGACTGAGAGGCAATGATGCAATCAGCGGTGAACCCAGCCTGAAGATTGGTAATGTTGAGGGTTTGGTTCTCCTTCTGCACACGCAGATTACTTTCTGTAAAAAAGAAACACAGAGATTAGACAAAACGACTGAAATGGGAAACACTCACCTTGATGGTTCTGAATAATATGACAGAAGTGTACAAGCTGTTAATAAGATTGTACTAATGCCATGTTCACACATACATGGGTTTATTTATGCACAGAGTTTATCCCTTTATACGTTTTTTTAAGTTGCATTCACATGAAAACAAAAACACTGTCGCATGCCAAATCAGCAGATGGTGATATAACATTAATAGCAAAGAATTGTTGGCCAATTAGAAGACTAAAAAGTAGAGCCCAATATGATGTTAAACGGAGGAAATAACATCACGCACAGCAATGTTTAGAAGCAAAAAATCTACTTTCATGAGCGACACGACCACACTGTAACCGCAGTGTGTTTTACAGGGGTGTTTGACCCCGCAATTAACCCTTGAGTCAAGCTTGAAAGAGATTTTGGGGGTGTGCACTTGAACAGTGCTAAATAGTTTGCCCCTATAACCACACCTGACAGTCCATATCATTGTGAATGCATGACTGCACCCAGCGGGCTATGCAGGAAAATATTTAGTCGCAATCTGAACATCTGCAGATCTTGAGCACCAAAAGACACCTTAAGAGTTCAAAAGACACTTCTCAGGTAGACTGCAAAAATGCTTTTCTTACTTAGATTTTTTGTCTTGCTTCTAGTCCAAATATCTTAAAATTCTTAAATCAAGAAACATTTTCTAGACAAGAAAAACATATAGTCTTGTTTTCAGAATTAATATGCCAAAATTAGGTGAGTTTTTCCTTAAAACAAGCAAAATAATCTGCCAATGGGGTAAGCAATATAATGTTACGTCAAAAGAAAAAACAAGATTAATTTGCTTACCCTATTGGCAGATTATTTTGCTTGTTTTAAGGAAAAACTCACTTAATATTGGCATTTTATTTCTCAAAACAAGACTTATGTTTTGCTTGTTTTGCTTGATATAAGAAATTTTAGATATTTAGACTAGAAACAAGACAAAAAATCTAAGCAAGAAAAGCATTTTTTGCAGTGTAGACAAGAATTCTGGCCTAAATTTTGCCTTTAGCTGGCACAGCAGGCAATCATCCGGCACGGGTATGCAGGATGTGGGCCGAACATAAGGTTGCACCATCTTTAAGGCGGCAGCCAGATGTCAAATGTAGTATTTGGCTCAGATGTTAAAAACTGAACGAAGGTTGCCCTATCTTAACCCACATTTAAAATACATTTGAATTATTTTTGAGTAAAGAAAAAAATTCTACCAATCAGGTCACTTCGAGAATTAACTCGGCCCAGATATGGTCCATGTTTAGCCCTTTTCTGGAAGCCAAACTTGGACCAGTCATGTACTGTAAATCACTGCGGCTTCTGGGCCAAGCAAAAGCTGATTTTGTGGGCCAGAGCTGGGCCAGAAAAATTTTGCTATGTGGGTAGTTTGCTCTGGTGTAGCCCTAAAAAAAAGGCGGTGTACTATTACACCAGACCAGATTTTAAATGAAAGTAGGCAAAGAAACGACGAAAGTTAATCTTTCCTTGATTCATTGGATATATATATATATATATATATATATATATATATATATATATATATATATTTTTTTTTTTTTTTTTTTTTTTACATCAGTTACCTGTATTTAAGTTGTTCAAGTGTTAGCAATTGTTCAAGTGGCTCTGCAGTGAGCACCTTCTCAAAAAAAAACCCTGCAGAATTGAAATGTTCGTGTAAACAGGGCCTAAGCGACTAAAAGTGGATAAATGTAAATAGATGTATTACCGATACTGTGAACTGTGACGGTGGTTAATCCTGACTGGCTTTGTGCTGTTTGTGTCCACCGGCCCTCACAGTCAAGCTGGAACATCTCAACCCTACACTGATAGCTTCCAGCATCAGCTATAACTGCGTTTCGCACGGTCAGATGGAACGTATTGGTAGTCGGTCTAGAAAAGCGTAATCTGTCCTTAAGCTGCTGGTTCGCTGTCCCATACTGAAGATGACCATTGTAGGAGTAGACCAATAACACAGTCCCGCTTGAAGAGTCTGGGCTATTGAAGATCCACCTGAGATTATAGTGATGAGATGGATCCTTCGTTTTCACACTCAGAGTGCATTCAAGCTCAAACTTCTCTCCGTGCTTGATGGCAATGCTCTTGTCAGTGTTATCCATGGTAAAGTTCTCCTTTTGTTGGCTTTCCTCAGTCTTCACTTGGATTGATAGCTGCCCGGACTTGTCCTCACCTATTCGTCTCCACTTGTTTGCTGCTGTCTGAATCCACTCCACAACTTGACAATGGTAAAGGCCAGAATCAGCGAGGTTGGTGTTTGGCACGGTCAGCATGTATTGCTTGGCACCTGGGCGTTTGAAGACCAGATCTTTATCATTGATTGCGCTGTGTAGAGTTCCATCACGACTGGCATTGAAGATGATGATGGGTCGCTCATTTTCCAGACCTTTAGACCAAGTCACCTCAAACACAGATGCATCACTGGACCGCGAGTCAATGATGCAGTCAATGGTAAATCCCTCTTGCAGATTGGTAACACTGCGGCTTTGGTCCTCTTTGCGCACGCTCAGTTTGTTCTCTAAATATCATAGAGGACTTTCAGTTATTATCAGAGATTTTCTTTATTTTTCAGATTTTTTAAATATGAAGTACTCACCTATAAGCTGAACAGCAACATTGGTGTAACCGGACTTATCGCTTGCCTTAGCTGACCAGTGGCCTTTACAGTCCACCTGGTACTGTTGAGCTTGACAGTGGTAGCGCCCCCTGTCTGTCTGAATGGCTCTATGGATGGTCAATTGGAAGATACCCACCGCTGGACTGAAGAAATGGAGTCGTCCTGCAAGCTCTGGGTCATAGCTGCTGTATATCAGGCGGCCATCATAAAAGTACGTCAGAAGTGTCACACTGGCGGACTGATCTTGGGTAAAGAACCAGGTAAGAGAGTAGCGAAGTGTGGAGTCAGAGCCAGAACCATCCACTGAGCAATTCAACATCAGCGGCTCTCCCTCTTTAACATTCAGCTCAGTGTCAGCTTTATTCATTCTGAAATCACTGGCTGAAACAGAAGACAATTACAACAGAGTGTTAGTATGAGTTTTTAAATCAGGGATCACCAACCTTGCTCTAGCAGGGAACTATCCTGAAGACTCCGGATCCATTCGCCATTTGCGAGTCTTACCTATTAGAGTAAGATCTTCATAATAGTAGCCTAGGGGTGTTTATCCCTGTTCCTGGAGATTTACCTTCCTGCAGACTTCAGCTCCAACCCTGATCAAACACACCTGAACTAATTCTATAGGACCTGAACAGTACTTGATAATTGCAGGCAGGTGTGTTACTCTATTGCAGCTGAAATCTGCAGGAAGGTCAATCTCCAAAAGCAGGGTTGGGTATACTACAGGGGTGACCAAATCTGTTCTTGAAGATCCACCTACCTTCCTACCTTCGAAGCTAGAGTCACCAGGCAGACAGAAGCCCTGCCCATGACGTCATGGGCATGGTATCTGTCTGCCTGGTGACTCTAGCTTCATTGCTAAATGGCTAACATGGATGTTATTGAGAGAATAGCTGTGTTTATGTGCTTTTGGAAGGCTGATAAATAGCGTAGATTCATTCGGCGCCATCTCTGAGTCTACTAGATCCTTTCAGAGGTACTCAGCTCTGAGTTCATCAACTCCTCCAGGACCTGTACCTGGATGATGAAGGCTTTTAGCGCTGCTTTAGACTGACCTGGGACCAGTTTGATGAGCTGTTGTATGGTGTCGGCAAGAGGACTCCAACAGTAGGCACTATGTCATAATCACACCCCTACAAGAGCAAGCTCCTGATTGGTTAACTCTTCAAATGTCTGCTGAAGTTCAGATTTTCCAACTCGAACAATTCAAACACTCAACTCGAACCGATTCATTTGTGCAAATCGCATCATTCATGCCATCACATTCACGCAAATCGTGCCACAGGATATCTATTCACTACTTTGCATTGACTAAACATGTAAATCCCTCGCGCATGATGCTTCATTGGTCTGGTGTGGATGCACCAGTAGACCATCCAGGAAACTTTGGAATACTCAATACAACTTACTATAATTTGAGATACACTAACGGTGTTTTTGAATAATATTTAGGATAAATACTACACAAATTGGGATGCAGCACATGATTATTATAATAATTAATAATTCCTTGCATGTATATAGTGATTTTCTAGACACTCAAATCGCTATACAGATTGGGGGAATCTCCTTGTCCACCATCCACCTGGATGATGCAACGACAGCCATATTGGCCATAATTTGGCCAGGATGCCAGGGTTAAACCCTTACTCTTATTCAAAGGACATCCTGGTATTTTTAATGACCATCTGGAAGACGGCGCTCTAGTAGTCTGAGCAGTATAGAGTCCCCTTCACAATACTGGTGCATGAGGACCCACACAAACCACAAGTTGAGCACCCCTTGCTGGCCTCACTAACACCCCTTCCAGGGGCTGCCTAGCTTTCCCATGTGGTCTCCCATACAGGTACTGACCAGTACAGCCCTGCTTAGCTTCAGTGGACAACCATGTGAGAGTTGCAGAGAGCTACAGTAGCTGTTGGAATAGCAGGTTCAGGTGTGTTTGACTGAGATTGAGAAGCCTTCCAGGAGCAGAGTTTTTGATCACCGTCACAGATTATTCAGCACTACACAATTTGCATAAACTTATACTTCCAACTACTTAAAAGATAACGGGGATGTACATGTGTTTTACCTTTCTCTTTGACAGCAAGCTCTGTGGAAGCAGATAATTTCTTTAGGGAATACCATTCCCCAAGAGGATCCTGAAGCCACTCTTCCACCTCACAGAGGTACTGGCCACTGTCAGTGGTTCTGGCCTGATGCACAGTCAGCTGAAAAGTGTGTTTCTGTCTCACTGTCATGCGGATTCTCTGGTCCATCTCTACCCCAGCTGCTGGACCGTACTTGACAACAGCGTCTAGGTCCATATTTAAGAGCATCTGAGACCCAATCATCCAAGTAAATGTGAAACGAGAGGAGTTTGTGGTTTTTTTCAGGATGGAGCATTCAATCTTAGCATCAGTGTTGGCAGTGGTTTCCTGGCGAGACTTGAGTGTCGACAGTCTCAGTTTGCTGTCTGTCATTAGAAATTGCATGGAGAGGAAGAGAGAGATGTTAAACACAATTCTGATTCTTCAGTCATCTAAATGCTTTATAAAAGCACATTACCCTGTTGAAAAATCCAGCTTAAACTAGCCTAGCCTGGTTGGCAGGTTTTAGCTGGTCAACCAGGCTGGTTTTAAAGGGGTTTTGGCCACTTCCAGGCTAGTTTGCAGCCATTTCCAGCCTGGTCTTAGCTGGTCAGGCTGGGAGATGACCAGCTAAAACCAGCTTGACCAGCCTAGCCAATCTGGGAGTCCAGCCAGAACCAGCTATGTCCAGTTTAAACCAGGCTGGTCAAGCTGGTTTTAGCTGGATTTGGCTGGTCATTTTCCAGCCTGACCAGCTAAGGCCAGGCTGGAAAGTGGGGCCTGCAAGTGGCCAAAACCCCTCTAAAACCAGTCTGGTCAACCAGCTAAAACCAGCCAACCAGCCTAGGCTGGTTTAAGCTGGATTTTTCAGCAGTTTATGCTGTGCAGAGACTAAGAAACACAAACATGCTAATAAATACAAGAGGTAATTCATTCAATTTGGCAATCAACATTTTTACTTCTGGGAACGGACTCAAAATAACTTCGTTTAAGAACTGAAGATCAATCGTTTGGATTGCTTATTTTGAGTTTGACCTTTATGCCTGATTTTTCTACTATTGCTCTTTATTACCCATTGGCTTTGTCTACTGTATGGACTGCTTCTTCTGTGTTTTTACCCAGTGCCTGATTACACATTTAGATTTTTTTTTTATTTGTTTTTTTTTTTTAACTCTGCCCATAAGAACTCCTGTATATGGCTTCAATTTCTATTTCCACCTTACACTTACACCAGGTTGGGATAAGTGTAGGGTTAGGAAAACAAATAGGTTTAAAATAGGAATGCACTTTATAAATGCATTAACATATACAGCTGTATTTACCAGGTTTTTGTATAGTCACTGCTAGTAGGTTGGAGTTCTTCATGGCTTTCTGTCTACCCCTTTGATAGGCATCAACTTGGCACTGGTACTGTCCTTCTTGCCGCTTGCTGGCTCTTGGCATGATGAGAGTGAATATTGTGCTGGAAGGCTGTTCTTGAACTGACAGCTGATAATTTCTCTGATCTGTTAACCAGGTGATTTCTCCAGCGGTGTGTATTGTTAAGATATCCTTCTGTGCAGTTGAATTGAAAGCCCGAAACATCCAGCGTACAGCCAAAGAAACCTCAGGTCTTTCAACTATACACAGTAACTTGACTGGAGAATCTATAGGTGCAGTTATTTCGCGACTTATCAAGGTGACCTTCATTAGAGATTCTGAAAGGACAACATGCTGTGATTATTCATACTCGGCTCTCAGTAACATGCAGTGAAAATAGGAGAAAAGTAATGACACAGGTTGCACGTCTACTGATGCAGAAGGTTTCTGTGTTCCTGAGATTAGTGTGTGTGTGTAGTCTTACCAACTGAACGCACTGCAACTTTATTTTGCTGAGACTGGGTGTGGGTTTTCTTCATCTCGCCATTGCTCTGTATGATCCACTCAGACACAGTGCACCTGTATTCACCACTGTCAGATAATCCAGCTTCACCAATCTCCAGGGTGAAGTTTCCAGCTGGAGAATGGAGCGTTTGAACATGGCGACTCTGGTACCTCGTCCCAGTATCTTTCATCACTCCCTCATGGGTCAGACTAGTGACGTCACTGAAGGAGTCCACAGAGTCTTTCTTGTGTTGCCATGATACTGATAAAGAACCCTTAAACCCCGACACAGAGCAGGTGACCTGTAGAGCATCTCCTTCAGTCACTGCATCCTTCATCATCATGACCACAGCCAGATCACTCTCTGACCAGACAAGCAAGAACAGACAGTGTCAGGGTGCGCATGGTCATGCTAAAGCTTTCATTGTACAAATAATGTTTATCTACAAGATGCAAACCAATGTGTGGAGTATTTTAAGATTGTAGAGGAGGAGCAATTACCTTTAGTCGTGATGTTCACAGTCTCAGGGTTGGACAGTTGTTTTTGCACTCTTTTGAAGGTGCCGTCTTCATTCATGCTCTCCTGCCATACTTCACACTGGTATTGGCCCTGATCTTCAGTTCGAGCTGAATGGATGCTCAGCAGGTAGTCTGTTAGACTTGTTTTCACTGCTCTCATCTCTGCTGAATTCTCTCTGTCTTTATAACTATCAAATACGGTGAGCATCCCAGAAGGTCCGATCTGGGCCACGTTCTTTCCGTTCTTCATCCACGTCACAGAATAGAAATAGCCAGGAAGATTCTGTGCTTTCACACTGCAGCGGATGTCTAGTGCATCTCCCTCCTGTAGGGGCCCTTTTGAGGCCTTTGTGGAAACACTGAATGATCCTACATCTTGGGCCTCTGTTGAGACAGGAAATATAATGAGGTCAAACAGATTCTCTTGTGCAGTTTCCTGATTGCAGTCTTAGTGACACTGTCATTACACCAGGCTCTGATCTGCATAGATTACACAAGAAGTTCTCATGTTATAGTAAGTTACTGCTCTTTTTGGATGAATACAAAGACAGTAGGGATAAATAACAATAAAACAATGAAAGAAAAGGTCCGATATCTTTAGCTATTCATTTTAAAAGGTCTAAGATTTATCAGGCTCATGCATCTGTCATTTTGTAGAAGTGAAACATGGGGAAGGCTATGTAACGCCCTCATTTTCAAAAACTAAATGCAAACCACCGCAGGTAACAGAAAACCACTCAAGGTCACAGAGTGCATAGATTAGAAATCTACTGTTTGAGCTTCAAAGTATTAAATGGAGAACGCATGAAACTTCAAACAAGAAAAAATATTTTAAATGATAAAATGTAAACCTCACCGATTGGTTTGATCTCCACATTACATGCTGTAGAGGTTTTGTGCGCAATCTCTGTCCAGTTTCGATCTGGGTCTTGGATCCACTGGACGGTTTTGCAGTAGAACTTCCCCTGGTCTGACTGCTGCACTTGAGGCATCTTCAGTCTGTATGTTGTGTCCTCCACTTTATCCATGCTGATCAGACCTGCATGGTAGCGATCCTCAAATCCTCCTCCTGGCTTTATAGTGAGATCTCTGTCCAGAGTAATGACTGGTCGGGGGTCCTCATCTCCTCCACTATGGACGTACCAGGTGACCGACAGATGGGTGTGTTGAAAAGTCTCACTGTAGACCTGGCACTCAAGCTGAAGTGGATCACTCTCAAACAGACTCTGAGAGGAAGAGCCAGAATATATGGCCTTCAGGGTGTCCGGTACCACTGTGAATAAAACAAACCTTCTTGACAACTTGCCAATTATCAAAAGCAGCACATTTGTTATTGAGCAAAGATAGTACTAGTGACTAACTTCTAGGAACAAGACACATTTATTATGTGTTTATTTGTTTATTAAAGTTGTTTAAAATGTGTAATGGTTCCTGCCTCCTTACCTTCTCTGAGGTTTAATCTTGTTACAGCAGGAAATTACTGCTGGCTTTTTCAACTACAACAGCTAGCTTGGTTTTGTCAACTCAAAGCGAATCCTTTAATCCAATCACGTTTAATTTAATCAAGTCTATTCAGCCATCAACATGATATAAGATATAATCCCTCCTGACTAGCAGTTTTGGAAGTATTCAGACCAACACATTTGTCAACAACTGCGAGTTTAAAGTCATGTAAGTCTTCTTTCTTCTCCATTCTGTTGCTCAGTTTGAACTTAACACCTAAATGCACTGAGTTTAAGACATGAGACATGGCTGATTAAATATGTGCATTGATAAGCAGTCAAACTGACATGCATAATAAAGTTATCGCTGGAATAAAAGAAACCTGGAGATCTCTAGATGGGAGATGCCATTGAATAAAGTCAAACTTAAATAAATATCTTACCGTTAAGTGTTGTTTCTGCTTCATATACTCCAAACAATCTGGGATCTGTACTTGGGGTGTGACAGAAGATTTGTCCCGCATCATCCATCATCGCTTTTTTGATCCTCAAGAGAGCCGAAGACCCCGTCATCCTCTCGATCTCAATTTCTTTTTGCTTCACCCTGTCGGAGAACCTCGCAAAGGCAAAGTCTGGCTCTTTAGTACTGATGATGTTGAATTCACCTTTTTTTTTTTTGACACCAAATTCGAAGTCCTGCTCACTCGAGCCTTTAAACCCACTAACACTACAGAAGATGGAGAAGGGAAATCCTTCCACTCTGTACAGGGGGCCATCCTGGATCTGGACCACACGCTGACCGTCACACTGATCTGTGTGGAGAGTGGCGTTAGACAGACAATAAATATCTTTAAATATACTTGAAATGATGCCGTTGTCATGATTTGCTCTGTTCAGTTTGGTAACAAATTTAATTTAGTGACCAGATTTTAAGATGCAATTGGGATCTAACATGAGAACAAAGAGATCTCACTTATGATTAGCAAAGAGTTTATAAATGTGGACTACAGTTTATTCATTTTTGCTCGCACTTTACTTTGATGGTCTGTTTGTTGAATTGAAGAATTTAAGTTTAATATCCTAATCAATATTTGTAGAAAGTCTGTAATTATGACCCACATGGTGCCTTTTTGTCTATTCCTGCAACATTAGACTGGTTTTCTTGTCCAGGATCTCAAATGTGAAAGAGCAGATATGATTTAAGAGATTCTGCACATTGAGTTAGTCAATAAAAAAAGCTTGTTAAGACTTTACATATTTGCATAGATTACTTATATGCCATTTTGTCAATGTTCAATGCTAATTACATTGAAAGTCCAGTTTAAGTGTTTAGTATTGTTTAGTTATGCAAGTTTTGCATGCCATATTCATTAACATTAAGAGTGAATTATGCAGTTTTAATTTTGGGGTGAGCAAAAACCAAGTCCACGTTGTCAAACATTGAAACAAATTACACAATGCACACATACTCTTTACTTTAAGAACCAATTCTCCTATTAACTAGTGTCTTATTACCGGTCTATGATGAAGATATTGTGTTTACTAGTACTTAAAAAGCTCATATTCTGATCTTATTCTACATCTCTAACACCTAAATTAGTATATTTCCCAGTGTAATAAACAAGATTTGAGTTTTAATTTTGGGGTGAGCAAACACTAAGTACAACTTCACACAGTCAAGCCTTGAATAAAAGTAACACAATACACAAATACTCAAAACGATAACCATCTACTGTTTACATTTCATTACATTTAATTCTCACTATTTACTAGTCTGTTTATGAGTACATCTCTAATGCCTACACCACACCTGAACCCAAGTACTACCATAAAAACTATTTTATCGAGTTTGTCGAGGCAAAAGTCACAGCTAATTTTTTATTAGAAGTGAGAACTGTATTTCAAAATATAATATGACTCCCAAAACTTTATCAATCCTCAGTAAATTATCAGTTTATAATTGAACTCAATACACCATAAAACCCAACAGCCAACTCCATCAAAGTAAATGAGTGCAGTTAACTCAACATTGACTGAAGTTAAATCTACTCATTAGAAAAGAGTTTTGAACTCAGTGTTGAAGGTGATGAGTTCATGAAATTCCTCAGTTCACAGTACTTGTATAGATTCGTTTTTTAACTCAAAAGGTTTGTTGCAATTGGTTTCCTCAAACAGTTTGAGTTGCCTTAACTTACTGTGTTTTACAGTACACAATCGAGAATTGAGTTCTCTTCATTTATTAGGTTTTACTGTGCTCAAATTGCTTCATTTACTCAAATGGATTAAGTTCACAGTACTCATAATGATTAGTTTTTGAACACAAATGGTTTGTTGCAATTGGTTTTCTCAAACGGTTTGAGTTACCTTGACTTACTGTGTATATTTCTCAGTATAATAAAAGAGATTTGAGTTTGAATTCTGCGCTGAGCAAACACTAAGTACAACTTCACACAGTCAAGCCTTGAAAGTAACACAATACACAAATACTCAATACGGTAACCATCTACTGTTTACATTTAAGCACTAATTCTCATTATTAACTAGTGTTAGAGATATAATTAAGATTTAGTCTGTTTATGAGTACTTATAAAGCACATATTCTGCAGGATCTTATGCTTCATCTCTAATCCAACACCATACTTAAACCCAAATACTGCCTTAATAACTATTAATTAGCAGATAACGGTTTAATGGTTTAGTAGAAGTGAGAATTGTACCTCAAAATAAAGTATGACTCCCAAAACTTAAGCATTCTCCAGAGAACAATCCACTTATGGATCAGATTAGTATATATATATCCCAGTATAATATTTGTAAAATAACATAATTTCCTGGTCTTACCCCACTGCAGGAGACACAGCAGCAGCAGCAGCAGCAGCAGACGCCCCGACACAAAATCCTCCATCACCAAAGGTAATTCAGATTAATTCAGACATAAACTGAATCCAGATTTTAACAAGCAAAGCGCAGAAACGTCCTCTGAAGCAAGCGCCGCTGATACATCAGACATAAAGGAGGAAACAAACGTGTGGGTTTCCTGTTGTCTGACGCCTATTTATTTACAAGCAGATGTGAGAGTGTGTGTTAGAACACATCAGCATCTCGAAAGCAGAATGACCATTGAAAAATACATTAAAGACCCTATTGCCTTCTGCTGTTTCATATTAATGCACACTGTACAGTGATTTCAATGGTGAAAATGCTACAGTAAACAATCTGTGACCTGCTCATCAGTGAATATTTATAATATATACAGTTAATGCCAACGTTTCACTGCAAAAAATGCTTTCTCACATAGAGTTTGTCTCATTTCAAGTCCAAATATTTAAATATTCTGAAATCATGAAGCATTTTCTAGACAAGCAAAAAAATGTTTTCATAAATAATGAGTCAAAATGAAGAGTTTTTCTTTAAAACAAGCAAAAAATAATCTTGTCGAAATGGAAATTAGAATATGTTGCTACCAAACCCTTTTCCCTTTTGTTTGCAGTGTTTGCTTTATATTTTCCTCACAGGACAGTCGACACTGCTGTTGAGTTTTTGACTCTCATTCACACATTATTTTGTTGGCAGTCTTTATTTGAAATGGTTGATGCAGCAGATGTTCCTCTGTAAATAAGTTTACTGTAAGATCTAATAACCACTAACACCTTTCTCTGTTTCCTCATTCATTCAGCTTATTCTCATTCTTCACTGTTAAAAAGTGCTGAGCTCAATAAAACTCCTTCAGTTTGTCCAAACACAAATAGATTCAGTTAAACTCAATTGTTTTGACAAATGTAATTGGACAAATGTAACATAAAACATTTAAAAAAAATTCAATAGTCGTGTTGTTTCAGCTCATATCAAATAAGTACAGTGTAAAAAAACAGGTCGCCTTACATTTTAAGCTGAATCGGATTAACCGTATGAGTCCATTGAACGTATATTATGTTAAACTGACTTGCGTAACTTAAAAAATTAAGTTAGAACATGATTAAATCATGAGTTAACTTAAACGTTTAAGAAGTTGCAATGAACTGAAAACATCTGCTGTCAGGACTTATCATCTCATCATAACATTGAGTGTTGATGGCCAATGACCCCCCCACTCCAAACCGGGTGCTCCGGCTTCCCCCGCAGTCCAAACACATGCGCTATAGGGGAACTGATCAACTAAATAGTGTGTATGAGTGTTTCCCAGAACTGGGTTGCAGCTGAAAGTGGATCTGCTGCATAAAACATGAGCTGGATAAGTTGGTGGTTCATTCCGCTGTGGCGACCCCAGATTATTAAAGGGACTAAGCTGAGGAAAAATGAATGAATGAACTTTTGCCCTTTTTAGTTACTAATAAGTGCCCCTGGCCTGATGATGCACAGGTGTATTTAATAACTCACACTGTATTATGAGTCCAAATGATCACTTTTTAAATTCTATACAAGCAAAATAACCTGAAACATCATATAAAATAATCTTGTTTTGCAATCTTGTAAGTTAAAACTGACTTAACTTTCACTTTTTATGTTTATAAATGAAATTTCCTTTGCTTGTTTAGAAAATGCCTCGTGATTTAATAATATTTAAATATTTACACTAGAAACGAGACAGAAACTCTGTCACATTGAACATCTTGACCTTTTAGAGTGTTCAAAACTTCTCCAAATGCTGTTGAGGAAGTGTGAAGTGTGAGGAGGTCTATATCTTGACAAGTGAAATCAAGTGAAATCTGAAGGCGTCTGCATGCGTGTGTGTGTGCGTGTGCGTGTGTGTGTGTGCAGAGAGAAACAGAAACTGCTGTGGGTTTGAGCTGCAGAGGAAGAGCTGCTTGACCACAGTGGAGATGCGATCAGAAAACTCATAAAAAGAAACAAGAAAACTGCATTAAACTGGTGTTGTTTTACATATCAGGCCTGAAACACTTCCACAGCAGCATTACAGGAGAAACAGAAGTTGCAGCGTCTGAATGAGGCCCTCAAGAAATCAGCAACTCCATTGTGACTATTAGGACGCCCTCTTGTGGTGCAGAATAAACTAAATAAACATATAACACTGAATAAAATGTGTGAAACTGAACCTGTGTGACACTGAATACTTAAGATGTGTTGCCTGAGCGAATCACTAAGATGTCACATGATGATAATATTAATTTAAATAAGGAAATCTGCATTAAAATGCTGTTTAAGAAAAAAAATCTTAAAAATCAAGATATTTGTGAGGTGTTTTTTATGTGTTTTCATATCAAGAGGCTTGCTGGAAAGAGCATAAGTGCATATGAGAACAAATATAACAAGGTGACCTTAATGAAAAAATCATTACCCTTATTTATCTTACATTAAGCAATAGTACACACACACACACACACACACACACACACACACACACATATATATATATATATATATATATATATATATATATATATACACACACACACACACACATATATACATACATATACACACACACACACACACATATATATATATATATATATATATATATATATATATATATATATATATATATATATATATATATATATACATATATACACACACATACACATATATATATGTATGTGTGTGTGTGTATATTTATATATATATATATATATATATATATATTTATGTATATATATATACATACATATATATATATATATATATATATGTATGTATGCAACTGCTGAAAAAACGTCAAATGCTCACAACTGAGCGTAAAACACCTGCAAAGTTTTTCACATCATAAAGAGAGCATCTAGACACAGTGACTGAGCACCTGTAAACAGAAACTCACAAGTGGTGTCACACCTCCGAGCTCTTCTGATTGGTCCACTGCTGTGAAACTGACAGTGATGAGCTGCTGCTGATGGGTGAAAGTTGATCTGTTGACCACACACACTCAATCCAAAACACATGAGCATATCCGTCACACACGTCCATCAAGCACGCGTTCACACTGAAGAGCAATATAACAGCAGCACATCAGAACAGATAAGAGCATTCTGAGTGAACGGCCCCTTAATGAAGAAACACCGCATGACGTGTCTGTTGTCAAGAGAGAGGAGCTCCGCTGCGGGTTTATGCATATAAACAGTTTTCATTAATAATAAAAGAGAAGACTGAGATATTTCCCAAAGGCACACTGAAAAGAGAGGTCAGATCAACAATGTCAGGTTGTTGGTTTATTATTATTATTAATCAGACATTGTTTCGTTGGTTTGTCAGAGAACTGGAGTGGTCAGAAATCAAACACAAAATACTGAATGCCTTTCAGGAGAACTAAACAGGAAACACTTTACTCAATGGACTGTTATGAGACTTCTATAATCATGAAATGACACACCCAATCAATATGAGTGACACTTTATGCATGCGCACAGCCGTGTGTGAAGGGGTGGGGGGGGTATCTGCACGGCCCTGCATGCTTATAAAAGATAAGTGTCCTTCACCCACTTCTATCATTTCAGTGCTCAGATGACAGATGTGTTTGAGAGGTCTTTGTTATGGCAACGTGACCACCAAGGCAGCATAAACCCGTCATAAACATGAATGTAACGTGGACATTATAATTGTGAATATTATATCAGCGTCTCTCACAACTTTTCTTGACATCCCCTACAGTATTGTGGCACTAATTTAATTAGCCAAATTTCTGTATAGTCATTAGGCCCATTAGGAATCTTTGCTGTGCGATATATTTTCACAGATTTTTTTATGTAACGTTGTCATCCTAAACTCATTTTATGCCACTGATTATAAAGTTGTGTTATTTATTCTTATGGTTATGGGCTATATGCACACAAACATGGACTTAATTGTCAGCTAGGCAGCCCAAGGGCCTCCGGTGACCAGTCTTTCCATTACAAAATGATCACGTTTAAGATTTGACTTCTTTCAAGACCAGTGATCTTCACTGCCTGATAGATATATGATATGAAGTGGGTCTCAGACTAGACAATAAGCGCTGCATTACATTACATTTCCCACTGCCATGTCTACAACATACGACCGCAGTGCTTTCTGTGCCAGTGTGCTGCTACTGACAGCAGTTTTTCATCTCGTTTTACGCTTGAACAACTAAATGAACGCTGAAGTCTGTTTAACTGAGTGTATTTTAATGACATCACAACATCAGTGCTGCAGTAACAACCTTGTGAAATTGAAAACAGTCGCATTAAGCTTTCACTGGAAGTTTATCATTGGCTTTGACACTCTAGCTGTGCATAGAGCCCGTTTAGACTCTGTAATTGGATGTTAAACAGTAAATATATTATTATTTTATCCTTTTAAGAGTGCTAATACGTAAATATCCAACTCCAGTTATTAACTTTGACACCAGGGATGTATTGCAACAGCAAAAACGATTGAGGTCATATCCGTGCATTGCATGGTAAGTGGAGATGCTGATTATTGTGAGAGTAATATTCACTATAAGATGTCCTCAGTGCAAATCTAAAGCAATGTGAAATCGACATCTGCAACTGGAGGATGACAGTGAAGAACCGACTACTGGAGAAGCATCGTCAGTGAAGGAACAGCAAAGACTGAGGAAAAACGAATCGCAGAATCCACAAAGAAATGGCAACACAGAGAGCGACATGCCTGGATAAAAATCTCCCCATATTGTGTGTACTGCTCTAAAGTATATTGTTTATAAATGTCTGGGTAGAAAACAACACATCTTTCCCCCTTTGAAAACATTATATTTCATTTGTTGAAAGATTTACAATATTTCAGAGCAGGACACACATCAGGCTAAATAATGAAAATGAATCATTGACTTCTGCTGTCTTCATCAGTTTAAACATTTCTGTACAATTTAAAACGACAAAAAGTAAACATAAAATCTTACACATACCTTAGGAACGGTATGTGTAAGAAACCGCGGAAGACTTTTATCATCCCATGCCTAATAAACACATGCTGAACAATGTCATCTGAGCACTTAAAATAACTGAGTCAATGACACCTAACTGCCATAAGCATGCATAGACTGTGTCATGTCATGATTATAAAGGTGTTACGACAGTATTATGAACACCTCCTCTCTGTAAAATGTCTATAAGCACAAATAAAAACAAACAAACACTCACTTTAAAAGAACATGTTTAATATAAAAAGGTCAAATCTCTTACTGAAATACCTTGAGGATCTCTCTGGTAATGTGGCTCTGAACAGACAGACAGACGTCGCTCATGAAACTGCTTCCCTTCTCCAAAACAAAACCTACATTAAAATACTTTTCAGACCACATGGTGGATAAGAGAGAGAATCTGCACTGCAAATCACACCACAGCGCATTCAGACAGAAGCGCACAGCTGGCTTTCTTACAGTTTTAGTCTTGTTTTGAGGACAAATATCTAAAAAATCTTACAATCAAGAAGCATTTTATAGACGAGTGCAAAATACAGATCTGCTTCCAAAAATAACGACACAAGATTAAGAGAGTTTATCTTAAACACAAGCAAATCAGCCAATGGGGTGAGGTTTATTGTACATTTAGCCCACCGGCAGATGATTGTGTGTGTTTTACTGAGGATATTAAATGTGTTTGTGTCACTAGTTTTCTCTTTGTGATATTTCTGATGTTGATGTAATGATGTGGTGAAATCAAAGATGCATTTCCACTTGTGGATAATAAAGAAACTCAAAGTTAAATCTAGCTTAACTTTGTTTTTCAGAAAGCAGCACACAGATGTACTTCATTGTAAGATGTTTGGATTAGAAACTAAGTGGGAAACGCTTTTACCTTAAAAACGGGTGAGTGAAAATCTAAAACCAGGTTTATTGTACATTTAGCCCACCAGCAGTTTATTTTCTGTGTTTTATTGAGGATATTGAATGTGTTTGTGTTACTAATGTTTCTCTTTGTGATATTTCTGATGTGCATGTCGATGTAATGATGTGGTCAAATCAAAGATGCATTTGCACTTGTGGATAATAAAGAAACTCAAATCTTGCTTAATTCTGACTCTGTTTTTCAGAAAACAGCACACTGATGTACTTGATGAAAAACACTTCATTATTCTAGAATCTTTAGATGTTTGGATCAGAAACTCAGTGGGAAAAGTGTTTTTTTTTTCTGTGGTTTCTTGTTTTCAGCAATAACGAGTCAAGATTACAGGAGTTTTACCTTAAACACAAGCAAATGGGGGGAGTGAAATAACCTAAAACAGGTTTATTTTACATTTAGCCCACCGGCAGATCATTTTGATTGTTTTATTGAGGATATTAAATGTATTTGTGTTACTAGTTTTCTCTTTGTGATATTTCTAATGTTCATGCAATGATGTGGTGAAATCAAAGATGCATTTGCACTTGTGGATAGTAAAGAAACTCAAATCTTGCTTAATTCTGACTCTGTTTTTCAGAAAACAGCACACTAATGTACTGGACGAAAAAATCTTTGTGATTCAAGAATCTTTAGATGTTTGGATTAGAAACTCAGTGGGAAAAGCTTTTGAGTCAAGATCAAGTGAGTTTTACCTTAAACACAAGCAAATCAGCCGATAGGGTGAGTGAAATGATCCTAAAACAGGTTTATTTTACATTTAGCCCACTAGATATTAAATGTATTTGTGTCACTAGTTTTCTCTTTGCGATATTTCTGATGTGGATGTTGATGTAATGATGTGGTGAAACCACGGTTCAACTCTTGCTTAATTCTCACTCTTTAGAATGTTGAGATATTTAAGCTAAAAACAAGACAAAAGCTGAGTGAGGGAAGCTTTTTTTTGGCAGTTGCTTGTTTTCAGAAATGAGTCAAAATTAAGTGAGATTTTCCTTAAAACAAGCAAAATAAAATAATAAAATATCTGACAATGGCTGGAAGAAAAAAAATCTCATGTCAAAGCAAAAACAAGAGTGTATTTCTTATCAAATTATCTGATTATTGTGCTTGTTTTAAGGAGAAACTCTTCATTTTGACTTGTTTTTTTCTGAAAATAAATCTATTTGTTGTGCTCGTCTAAAAAATGCGTCTTGATTTAAGAATTGTTAGACATTTAGACTAAAAACAAGACAAAAACTCTAAAAAAGAAAGGAATTTTCCGCAGTGTGTGTGTGTGTGTGTGTGTGTGTGTGAGTATAAAAGCTGGAGGTTTGCAGAGTTAAGAGTTTTCAGTATGTCCAGCACACACTGCCAGCTCAGCTCAGCTCAGTCCTCCTCCAGGGGCCGATTCTGGGGTCCTGAACCTGACAGAGTCTCTGACAGACAGTCAATCCTCCGGCGCTCTCAGAGATCAGTCTAAAACTGCCGTCTCTTTGGGCAGACTCCATCCTATCCAGTACTACAGTAAAATAAGCAAGAGTTCAAACTCTGCTGCATGGGCCAAAGTGCAGTCCTCCTCCTCCACGGCGCTCAGATCACATCATTAATAAATCACTAAAATATCAGACGGCCGTCAGTGCGGGGGTTTTCCTGAGATTGTTGCGGCTCAGTGCTTTCAATCAGGTCCTCTGCTTAGTGTTGGAGTGTGTTCAGTCCATCTCCAGGTCCCTCAGTTTGTTGTGGGGCCGCGGCGTGTGCAGGGGGTTTCTGGAGAAACAGCAGCGGGCCACGGCCAGACCCAGCAGAATCGACAGCAGACCCGCCACAAGCGCCGCGATCAAACCGTAGCCCACCGGCATCTTCAGAGACTCCCACACTGACAAGACACAAACACACACACACACACATTAGCATTCACAAACATTCAGAGCAGAGTGGAAATTGAGAAAAACATGAGGAAAAATATTTCCAAATGCACATCAGCCGCGTTTCCATCATCGTTACGCCTCATTCACACGGGGCGACAGCTTCAACGCTTCACATTCACTCTAAATAGGTGACGTCAGGCATTGCTGAACTGCATTGTGGGTCTGTCGGTGCCACTTCAGTGGAGTTGCTCGCAGCAGAAAATGGGACTCTCAACTTTTCAAGCTCAGACAGAAGCAACAGCCAATCAGATCGCTGTATGCAAATACACCAGCTCAGACTTATTTCATTGGCTGATGCTATGACGATCGCGTCAGCCCCAACTTCAGACACGCCCTCTGTCAAGCATTGACGCTGGAGCCCCGTGTGAATGCACCGTTAGAGAGGCTGACTGTAGTATTGGTAACCTAGCAATCGACAGTCAACAAGACGAGCATAATGGAGTCATGAGGGTGTAAAACAGACACACATACACAAACATGAGCAATCACACACACAAGCACACCGAGGCCCCATTTACACGAATGTGTTTAAGTTTGAAAACGCATAAGTTTTGCTACGGTTACACCATCCGTCCACACTACGCCCGAGTTCTCGAGCGCCGAAAACGGAGCGTTTTGAAAATGCTGGAAAGGCCGTTTTCATTCTGAAGAGCTGCTGCTCTGTCTCAGCGTGGATGAGGGAAAACAGAGACAGCAGGGCTGCTGAGATCCGCTACCTGATTGGGGCTTATGTGTCATTGTGTATCCTTCTCTTATTCGTCAAGCGCCTATCACATGACTATAACACATGGCTTTAACGCTACCGGGAGACAGCAGACCAGCCTTCACTGTAAACAACAACACGGACACAGAAATGGGAGCGTTGTTTGCACTATTGTCTGTTTTAGGCGCCATTGTGCAGTTATTCATTTGTTTCGTTTAGTAACAACTCGACCTCGTCGTCTGTCCACAAAAATACCTCTCTTGCTTTCTTTGCCATCGCGTTCATTGTTCAACCGGCGTTTGTTGACTAACAATAACCAAATGCCGAGTGAGACACATGCTTCCTGTTTATACTACAACGCGCATGCCCAGAGTGCGCCAATGGTCATTAATGATCATAAATGTATTGTTTTCATTTCTGCGCCATGGAGACACCGGGATTCATTCAGCAACTGTTTGATATGTGAATATAATTCAGTAAAAAAAATGCTAGAACCGTATGAGCACCAGCAAGAGCTTTCATTTGAGCTATAACTTGTACATGTGTCATTTGAAAAATATGAAAATGAGCCAATGTTCAATAGCCAGCTCGGGTGTCCAAAATACTGTGTATTTAAGTGTAAATAACTTCTGTACAGTAGAATAAAAACCAAAGTGATGCACACGTGCATAAAATGTAGATTTTCATAAAATGTGGGTGTAACGTTCGCTTCATCACTCTTGTTGTGTATTATTTGTCATTTCTCTCTTGCAGTTCTTCAGAATGTGTGTGCAGAGGATCTTACTCTGTGTCCTGACGGAGAGCAGCACTCGGCCTGAGCTCAGCTCGCTCTCTTTGCTCCAGGCTCCAGTGGCGGGCGACAGCAGCCAGGGCGTAGCGCTGCAGTAATACTCGCCCACATCTGTGTGCTGGATGCTGTGCAGGCTGAGGGTGAAGCTGTACTGGTCTGTGCGCTCCAGACTGCTGTGATTAGAGCCGCTCTTCTTCACCACACCATATCGGTCCATGCTGATCAGCGGAACCACACCGTTATCCGGTGGACGCATAGAGCTCTGAAACCAGCGCACCTCGAACGCCACATCACCTGCACACACAACACACACACACACACTCAACATGGAGGAACACAACACCACATTCATCTTACAAACTGAATTTGATTGCTTTTTTTTATCTTTTCGGCTTCATATAAGTAGTTGTATAGTGATAGACTAGGTGTGTCCCAAATTTCATACTTATATATACACACCATGTCATATTGTAGTATAAATAGTGCCAGTAGGACCCACTGTTTTCCCCCATGACCACACCATACGATAACCTCAAAGCTTGATCAATTCCGAGAGTACCTCACACAGGTGAGTGGGCTTGACAAAGCACCTGTAGAAACAACCAACCAAACAAATAAACAAACAAACCCCCCTCCTCCTTACACAATTATCTGAACACTAACAGATGAGTTTTTGCCTAGTCAAAACAATTGCAAATGTAGCCCGACTGTAGTATGACTGTAGCCCAATTACAGTTCACTTGTAGTCCTAATACAGTCAAACTGTGGTCTGATTTTAGAATGAATGCAGTCTGATTGTAGTCCGAATGTAGTAACATTTGGAGTACGGCTGTTGTCTGACTGTACAATAATTGCAGTCAGGCTGTAGAGTGACTGTAGTATGAATGTAGTCTGACTGTAGCCCGACTGTAGTCCAATTGTAGTATAAATGTAGTCTGTCTGCAGTCTGAATGTAATACAATTTTGGGTCCGGCTGTAGTCTGACTGTAGTCCAATTTTAGTGTGAATGTAGTCTGACTGCAGTCTGAATGCAGTACTATTTGGTTTTTGGCTGTAGTCTGATTGTAGTCCAATTGCACTGTAAATGTAGTTTGACTGTAGTCCAAATTAAGTATATTTTGGAGTACAGCTGTAGTCTGACTGTAGTCCCAATGTAGTGTGATTATAGTATGAATGTAGTTTGACTGCAGTCTGAATGCAATACAATTTGGAGTCCGGCTTTAGTTCGACTGTAGTTCAATTGTAGTATGAATGTAGTCTGACAGTAGTCCGAATGTAGTACAATTCTGAGTCTGGCTGTAGCCTGACTGTAGTATGAATATAGTGTGAATGAAGTACAATTTGAAGTCTGACTGTAGTCAGACTGTAGTGTGATTTTAGTATGAATGCAGTCCGGGCTGTAGTTTGAATTTAGTACAATTATAGTGTGATTGTAGTATTAATGTAGTCTGACTGTACACTGAATGTAGTACAATTTGGAGTCCGGCAGTAATCCGATTGTAATTTGAATGTAGTCCGACTGTAGTCATAATGCAGTATAATTTGAAGTCTGGCTGTAGTCTGACTGTAACACGACTGTAGTGTGAATGTAGTATGAATATAGTGTGAATGTAGTACTAGTTGAAGTCTGACTGTAGTCAGACTGTAGTGTGATTGTAGCATGAATGTAGTCCGGGCTGTAGTTTGAATTTAGTACAATTGTAGTGTGATTGTAGTATGAATGTAGTCTGACTGTAGTTTGAAGGTAGTACAATTTAGAGTCCAGCTGTAGTCTGACTGTATTACAACTGTAGTGTGATTGTAGTATTAAGGTAGTCTGACTGTACACCGAATGTAGTACAATTTGAAGTCAGGCAGTAATCCGATTGCAATTTGAATGTAGTCCGACTGTAGTCATAATGCAGTACAGGTCAGACTGTAGTTTGATTTGTAGTTATGAATGTAGTCTGGCTGTAGTCCAAATTTAGTACAGTTGTAGTGTGATTGTAGTATGAATGTAGTCTGACTGTAGTCTGAAGGTAGTACAATTCAGGGTCCAGCTATAGTCTGACTGTTGCACAACTGTAGTGTGATTGTAGTATGAATGTAGTCTGACTGTAGACCGAATGTACAACAATTAGGGGTCCGGCTGTAGTCTGACTGTAGTCCGAATGTAGTGTGATTGTAGTATGAATGTAGTACAATTTGGAGTCTGGATATAGTCTGATTGTAGTGGAGGAGGTGGAGGAGCTCCCTGGCTTTGCAATTAATAAACTGATCTCTGGGTCCAAGCGCTCTATCGAACTGTATGGGAAGACTCATCAATTGGTACTAATAAACGTTTACAATTTATATATATATATATATATATATATATATATATATATATATATATATATATATATATATATATATATATATATATATATATATATAAAATTCACTTTAATGTGTGACAGGACTAAAAAGTGGGCATAAACGAATATTTTCTAAATTCAAATGATTAGTATTCCAGCTGTGGATGGAAAAGTGTGTGTGATGATGGTGAATGAAGCACAGCGTCACACTCGGACAGGCCTGCACACGCTCACACACTGATACGTGTGGAATCTGACTGAAGGACACAGTAAAATCACACACACTGTGATCCTAATCAAGAGAAACACACACACAGTCACAGATGAGCAATGATGACCACTAAACACACACAAAACAGACAAACAATAAACACACACAAAAACATGCACACTCACAACAGACATGACCTAACACTATGTCACTTACTAACACATGCACACTAAAACACAAATGAGCAAACAACAAACACACACATTGTAACTAACAGTAACAATGATTAATACAAAGTGTATCAAAAGCATTGCTCATTGTAAGATAGTGAATAATAAAGTCATATTAAACAGTGATGCAGAGCCCAAATCACATCTCATTATCACACACACGGAGTCATTAAGGGAAGCTGTGGCTCCGGGCTCCTGATTAGTGTTACGGTATGTAAAGTAAGTGTGTTATATGAGGAATGACAGGCTGAAACGAACTCTCGCTTCCGGGGCCGGAGGGTGAAGACGGCCCTCATAAAGCCTGACTGTCCCTGCATTCACTGGATAACTGCGGCTTCTCATCTGCACTGATTAAAGACTGAACTTCACAGCCTGGAGGAGACTGTACTGCACCCAGAGCTGACTGAATACCAGTGCTGGCCAGCTCTGAATTATACAAAAACACTATTATTAAACAGATAAATTCCCCCAAAAATGAAAATGTCCTGTTATTCTACTCGCCCACAGGTCATCCATGATGTAGGAGACTTTTTTTCTTCTTTAGTAGAACATTAAAGAAGATGTTGAGCTGAATCTGTGGTCATTCATATAATGGCAGTGAATGGTTTTGTAGAATAAAAATAAACACATACAAACAAGTCCAAATCAATAGCCATGGCTCCTGGAGAGGTCTGGTGAAGCAAAACTATTGGTCCGTGTAAGAAACTGAACATTATTTACAATATTCTTAGCGTTAATCCACAGCTTGGTCAAACAGTTGTGAATGTAGTCCGATTGTAATCCAAATGTGGCACAACAGTAGCCCAAATATAGTCTGAATGTAGCCCGACTGTAGTCAGACTGTATGCTGAATAAAGTATAAATGTCGTCTGACTGTAGTCTAATGCAATTTGGAGTCTGGCTGTAGTTGAATTAAGTCCGACTGCAGTCTGAATGTAGTACAATTTGGAGTCCAGCTGTAGTCCGACTGTAGTCTAATTGTAGTATGAATGTAGTCTAACAGTAGTCCGAATGTAGTTCAATTTGGAGTCTGGCTGTAGTCCGACTGTAGTTCAATGGTAGTATGATATAGTCAGACTGCAGTTTGAATGTAGTATAATATGCAGTCTGGTTATAGTCTAACTGTAGCATGACTGTAGTCCAATTGTAGTGGGAATGTAGACCGACTGTCGTAAAATTTGGAGTCCGGCTATAGTCTGACTGTATTCTGAATATAGTATAAATGTCGTCTGACTGTAATGCAATTTGGAAACTGACTGCAGAACAATTTGGAGTCCAGCTGTAGTACAACTGTAGTCTAATTGTAGTATGAATGTAGTCTGACAGTAGTCCGAAAGTAGTACAATTTGGAGTCTGGCTGTAGTCCGACAGTAGTTCAATTGTAGTATGATATAGTCCGACTGAGGTCTGAATGTAGTGTAATTTACAATCTGGTTATAGTCGAACTGTAGTCCAATTTTAGAGAGAATGTAGTCTGTTGTAATACAATTTGGAGTCCGGCTGTAGTCTGATTGTAGTCTAATTGTACTATGAATGTAGTCTGATAGTAGTCCGAATGTAGTACAATTTGGAGTCTGGCTGTAATCCGATTGTAGTTTAAATGTAGTCCGAATGCAGTACAAGTTGGAGTCTGGCTGTAGCCTGACTGTGGTCCAATTGTAGTAGAAATGTAGTCCGACTGTAGCACAATTTGAAGTCCAGCTGTAGCCTGACAGCAGCCCGACTGTAGTCCAATTTTATGATTGTAGTACGAATGCAGTCTGATTGTAGTCCTGTCACTTTTATGACAATAGAGCTAGGGCTGGTCTTGTTCATGTGTCTTGAGCTGCTGAAGTTACGGTAAAACACCACAGATCATAGATTACAGAGTTAAAATGCCTAAAACATCTTGAAAAATTCTGTTAATATGCAAGAAAGCATTCCAGTGTGCATGAAAAAAACTATTTGCAAAAAGTAGATTTTATAAAAATAAAAAAAATTGAAAGTGAAGAGCGATTCCTTTCCTTACCAAAAACATCTGCACTTCCCTACCACAAACTATTCCGTGATGGTCTCCCAGATAAAATATTTAAAAAATGCAATTATTTCCAAGGAGATGTTTGTGTCTCATAGCCTGCAGCCTGTGCTTCACTGATGCCGTATAGAGGTTCAATACTAAAGCTGAGATCATATGGAGCCTACGGGAGCAGCACTGTCCTTATTCTCAACCACTGTGAACAACTAGGCCACAATTAGCCTTAAAGAGGCCATCTGAAGAGCTGTGATGTTGTCCTTTTCCCTGCAGAGCCATGTTTGTGCATGTTTAGGATCTGCAACATTAACAAATCTCCCACAAGAGACATTTATTCGGTCTAGGAGAGAACACTGATCCAGACCTGTCTAAAACACATCCATACAAGTTTAGATATTACTGCACAGACAGAGATTTACTACAGCACAAATTACTGCACTCACACACACACACAGACAGACAGACAGACGGAAGGCTTGAGTTCAGTGAACTGTAATGTTGTCTTA